TCTACTTTATTTTTATATGTCGATTAGTAATATTTCATTAAAAGTATTATAATTTTATTCCCACGTCAGGTCCATTTGAAAGCCACAGATCTGAAATCTAATTAGCATATTTGATCACAAAAGTACATGAAATTATTTGACAACATCTCTATTATTCGCATAAACAAATCACGAATTGGTTTTAAATTGTCGTCTCAATTTTAAAACCATCACGTTATCAGAGTTGTCAAGGGTGTATTCATGAGCGATATAATTACCAGTAACAAGTGGCTGAGTCGACAAAAGAATTAATTGGGTGAAAATTAAGCGTTCGTGAATCAATCGAGCCGAAAATGCTGATTTCCCATTATATTAATGATATACCTTGATATATAAAAAAGGACATACTCGTATCTTATTAAACATCGTTTGCCAGCGATTTTAGGGAAGGTGTTGCCTGTTTTCATTTAGGTGATGTTTATGCCGTTTTTAGTGGTTTTAATTTAATATATTATATATGATTTGAAAAATGATTATGGATTGAAATAAAGACTTATTTATTAGAATTAAAATTTCGCTAGCTGACTTGGCAGCCAAACCTTTTCTTTGAAATAAGAAAGCTGATAGGAGGCAGAAAATTTAGGTATTATATGTTTTATGTGAAAAATCCAAGTAAAGATGAAAAAAGAGATCGGAAATTAAAAAAAAAATTGAATCTCTAAAACTTTATCACTATATTCTCATCTCTTTAAGGTCTAACTACAGCTAACCAGTCATGTGACCATATTCATGAAAATCACTCTTTAGGAAGAGAATTACAAACACACTGGTATTTTATATCTAAACTTACAAATAGGAAAACGTAAAACTAAATTAGATATATCACTTTCAATTATTTTTTATATTTGAAAACATAAGTAACTCGCGGAAGCAAAATGAATGCAAAAAGTAGAACACCTAGATTTGGAAGTCAAATATCGCAAGCAGTATATCCATAAATTTGACACGAGAACAATCGACAGACACGTTGATAGCGAATCACTGCGAATTGCGATAAGCTTCATAAACAAAAGCCTGTGCTGATGCATACTCAGTATGAAACGAATTCTTAAATAACTATCGATCTATACAACACTGTGTATTTTTAGAGAGTAAAGTTGTGGACAGTTTTCATTAATAACTTTGTTATTTTAGGAAATACTAGCATTGCCCGCGGCTCCGCCCGCGTTCAGATGATCAAAAACCAAATTCTTAGGTTTTACATATTAGTATACTCTTACAATGCAGTTTTTGTATTTTTTCTCAAAAATGAGATATTTTCCCGCGGTAAATAGTCTATCATCATACCAAATTTCATCAAAATCTGTCCAGTGGTTTTCTCGTGATGCGGTAACAGACAGACAGACAGACAGACAAAAATTCTAAAAACTATAGATTCAGACTCTGTATCGATAATAATGTCTATTTCAATTAGACTTTCCAAAAAATATTTAATGTACATATTCGACTTAGTTACAATATTATTATATGTATAGATAATATGATATCAATAAATTCTATAGTCGATACTGAATAATTTATTGGTATTTATTGCATTTTTTCACTTTTACCATTTTTTTGAGGTTACAGCTTTCAGAATCGGCTATTTCTTCAGTATTACTATTGAGAGCCATATGCATCGTATGAATTTTATAGTTTACTCTGTATTTTTCAGATAGTATGAACACTTAAAATGCACTTAAAAACCTTTAATAAAGGAAACTATTTTTTCTCGAAAATTTTCGGGACTTTATTTTGGCTATAAAGTAGCTGCAAAGCATTCGAAATATCACTAGCAATATATTAAAATACAACGTCGAAAAAATCCAAAATAACTTAATGTAAAATATCAAATATTTGCATACATATATGTCAAATAATAAACCTCCTAAATCTCAGAAACTGCTACGCTAATAAAAAAGGAAATCGAACCAGGGAAATCAAAGGCGTGCCTTTTATAAGTAACAATAAGGAGGAACAGCTAAAGCGCTTACTTTACTTTTAAGCATCTGATGCGTACTAACTAAATGGCTTTCGCATTTGACAGGAACACAAAGGCCGACATGCCGATCGCTGCCCGCTGCAAATTGTGATAACGCGCCCAAACAATGAGCCTGGCTATTACGCGCAAACAACTTTCACACTGATGTTTCGAACGTTTGCGAAAATGCAATGCTATTTTACGATTTACCTCTAAATTGAAATGTAAATATAGGGGACTAAAAAGCTTAGTAGGAATGTTTGTAAGTTTACAGGTGGGTTAGATATATTAGGACAAACGTGGAAAAAGATGTAGTTTTTATCATCTTTCAATGTTTTGCTTGAATCTTGATATATACATATAATAAAAGTGTAATTGATTGCTGTTTGTATATGGAAGATATTTGAGAAAGTTACTGTTGGGGGTCTTTATTAATGCTATACCTTAAAGACCCAAACAATGATTTTTAGAATTTTGTCCGTTTTTCTGTGCGTTTGTGTGCGCTAATCTCAGAACTGGCTCAACCGATTTGGGTGCGGTTTTCACTGATATATTGTGGTAAGCTTCACTTTTTTTTCAAATTTGTGTTTGCTTTATTTTAATCGGTTCATCAACAAAAAAATGTCAATTTTAAAAATCACCTAGGGATGAACCCGAGCGATGCGAGGTTGAGTCGCTACTCGCTAGTATGAAATAAATAGGCCTTTGCAATTTTTAGCATTATAACTAATTCATGATAAGCCACAGTAAGGTAACACAGACATCTCTCGCTTTTAACAAAAATACGGGGAAGCTATTAACATTCCAGCTCTTTACCCGACTGCGCGACGCAAAGGAGGGTAATGTGTTTATCAGTCTATGTATGTATGTTTGTTCCTATATAGCATTCTAAAGAAATAACGCGTGGGCCGATTTTTCTTACGTCGTTAGATTTGTCGTGATATCGCGAGTGTATAGGCTATAAAAATAGTTAAAAATTAAAATGGCGGATTTCAGGCGCCAATTTATATGTATTTTAAAAAAGTACTACATACCTTCGCCAACGTGATTTCTTCTTTTTAGTTAGCGTTTATGCAGTCGGGTTCTTTGTTTTAAATATATTTTTTTAATACAATCCTTTTCGCAAAGGTTGTGCAAGCAAATATTTTATACAACGTAGTCAAATATATGACCTATTTCATAAATATATTTTTATATTAAAAAATCCAAACATTCCTATAAAAGTTACCTCATGATATATTATAGCTTTTTATTTTAAATTCCGTGCAAAAGAAACCGGCTTAAAAAACTTAGCTACAAGAGCGGTATAAAATACCAATCTTATTATTTTCCAAGTACAAAATATACGTGCCTCTGTACATTTGCCGCTGTCACGTCGATCGAAAGGCGGCTACAGGAAACGTGATATGTGTCAAGTGTAGGTATTAGTTACTGAATAAATAATCGCACCTCTGGCAGTTCGCGCGTGACGAGTCTCTCCCTGGGGTCGCCAGTGTTCCCACTCTCCAAAAGTACTACACTATCCTTCGTGCCAGTAGACAAATTGTTTCTAGCGCGTACGTGTGTACCTTGCAAATAACCTATCGGTGTTTAGCTAGGCTTAGACAGGTTGACTTTCTACTATCGATATCGCTAATGGAAAACTAAAAAATGTATGAGAACGACATTACTTTAGATAATCGATTCGTTGTAATACGATTTTTTATACGTTTGATACTCTCTCTCTTGTATCTATTATATTATTATGAAAATGGGTCCTGGGTCCGATTTTGTTCACAATTTTATGGCTTTTATTTTTTTTGTGCGGAACCTTAATTCTTTTTCTAAAATACATATAAGTAGCCTAAGTTACTCCTTATAACATCAGTTAACTGCCAATGAAAGTCCCATCAAAATCAGTCCAGCCGCTTCGGTTTTTCGGAGCCGATTATCCGGAACAGACAGACAGACAAAAAATTTAAAAATAGTTCTTTCTTATTAGTATCGTATATACTTTCATATGCATTTAGTAAAAAGCTGATATTTTAATATTACAAACAGACACTTCAATTTTATTTATCTGTATAGATTTCAGACCTGCTAAACAAAAAGTCATTAATTCATAATAAATTGAGCGATAGACTTGTTATTATATTTATATCAGTTATCAAAACGTCATAATTAGAGTACCAATATTGTACAATATTGTACCGTCTAAATAATCAATGCATAAAATATTGTAATATCAACTATTAACATTATGAAACTAATTAAGCTCAAAGGGACTTTATAAATGTATTAATTTTATTAGCAGCTAGTTATTATATACATTTAATAGTTGTATAGCATTAGTTTATTTAACTACCCCCGTGTTAATGGCCGACAGGTGTAAAATTTCACTTTTATTGCTTAAGGGTAGTTTTCCTTTATGAATTTTACTAATCAAACTTTTTAGTGCAGTTTTAGAATGGCTATAATATTCTGAACTTCTACTTTATACGAGAATTTAACTTGGATTCTTATGAATCGTTAACTTTTATTTAATTGCAACTTCTTATATTCTACTTTTATTTCATTAATAATTGTAGCAGTATCATAGAAAATTTCTTTAAGTATTATTGAATTAAAAGCGTATCTCGATAATTTCAATATTGTATTCTTTTTCCTATTAACATCTACAGAATGTTTTAAAATAAAATACAAATAAACAAGTTTATTATATTTATTTATCAAAATAGTATCAACATTGATTAATCTTGAATACAAGAAATCAGTCTTGTAGTATTCGTTACTTACGAGTAAGAATCGTTCACATCGGTGACTTAAAGAGACTTCGTAGCTTTGTTTGCTATATTATAAACTCGATCGTAGCCAAAGCTCATGCTCTTCGATTATCATCACATTTCATACACCTGATATTCCTGCACTTTCAATAATCTGAAGTAAAAGAATTCTTAGCAATGGGTAGTATAATTTCTATCAAATCTAGCTTAGAACTTTAGAAGCACTGTTTAAGAGATTAGTGCCATAAACTTAAGTGTTCCTTAACTGGTATAAAAACAGGTCTATCTACAGCAACAGTTTTTACGACCGGTACGTGCACAGTGTTTACTATAGGCACTGTTTTTACTATCGGAACTCGATGCACTACAGGAACCTCCTTTATGATGGGCACCTGGTGTATTATGGGAACTTTTTCCACGTGATGATGGTGAACAGTATGGACTTCGTGTGGAATGTGGATTCTGACACTGAAACAAATATATTGTTATTTAGCTTGATCTTCGGCTTTATTTTTAGATTAGTTTTTAATATATAGCAGAATTCTACTTAAGTATGTTTATAGTATAGTAATAAGAGTTTACGAGAGTTTATTTTTAACTGCACTAATATAAGAGTTTTTTGTTTTATGTTTGTTTGAAAGCGCTGATCTCTAGAAATATCGGTCCAATTCGTTATTTAATTTCTATTTTGTAGCGAATGCTAGTCATATTTTATTTTGGTTTATGTTTTAAAAAGAATTTAATACTTACGTACTGATCTAACAATGTTTTTATTTATATTTACCAATCTGATTAAAATGATATTGTGTTCATTTGAACATTCAGCATATTTAACCATCTTACTTTTTTATCATATTACAAGAACATAAAACTTCAGTGTCTCGGTACATATCCGGACGTCTGGGTTCGAGTCGTGGGTCGGGCCAAGTTTAGTTATTGAGTATTTCTGTTAAAGCCGTCGGTCCTGCGCCTAATTTGTCACCGATCGTGTCGAATTATCATTCCATCGGAATTTGAGATAGAAAGGAATAGAGAGTGCACTTTTGTTTGTGCGTACACTTGTGCACTATAATATCTCCTGCGCAATTGGCTAGTCTCAGTGAGATTGGCCGCCGTGGCCAAAATCGGTCAACATCACATGTAAACATATTGCTAGTGCCTTTGCAACTATTAAATGTTTTGTCAGTAAAACAAAACCGTTTCAGTAAAATGGTTTAATAAAATAATTTACTTTTTAATTTATTTCCAACACTCAACTTCATCTTCAACTTATATGTACATTAGAGAATGGCTAAGTTAATCTTTATTATTATCATTGATTGTAACATTGATTTGATGTTCTCCTGACCGATTCCGGCCACGGCGGCCAATCTCATTGAGACTAGCCAACTGCTCAGGAGATATTAAAGTGCACAAGTGTACGCGCAGACACAAATGCACTCTCTATTCCTGTCACTCTCATACTCCGGTGGGACGACTGTTTGACACGACCGGTGAGAGTTAAGGCGCAGGACCGACGGCTTTACGTGCTCTCCGAGGCACGGGGGTGAAGCGCCGCCAACTTCCCAACTTCGGGCTGTTACTGAGGCTTACTATACAGAAAGACTAAATAACTAAACTTGGCCCGACCCGGGACTCGAACACAGAACCTCCGGGTGTGCAGTCGTACATGCTAGCCACTACACCACCGAGGCAGTTGTAACATTATACCCAATAAAAATACAAATTAACCGGAATTGAGAGAAATACCAACGCAAAGTAGTATTTCTGTTATACAATGTATAATGGTCTCTTTATTTCATTAAAATAACCACAAAGTAATTCTTTTTCATTAAAATTATTGTTTTTCTCAGAAATCGAAGCAAAATGAATACAGATAAAGTTTATACTTGAGCTTCATTTGAAATTCATTATTTGTTGAATGATTATTCGATTTATTCGATGCGAAATAGAGAACTCTCACAGTTTCTAAACGCTTTTTACGTTTAATTGAAATGAATATCATTCAGGCTTTCCATTAGATTAATTTATTACGTCTTTTTTAACATTTTTGCGTTTGCTTGATTATATAGGAAATGTTTTTCTTTCATTTCTCAACTGGCAATTAATCTTTTAATTTAGCTAGATGTTTTAATATTTTTTCTATAATTATAACGCTTGAAGAATAATTTATTTGAGGTAGCACAAAAAGTCAATATTTAGATGAAACGTACTGCATGATCACATAATACTATACTAGCAGAGATGCCTCATCCCATACGAAGAATTGGACAGCATTAATTCAGGCTATTTTTCGGGCTATTTTTGTTTCCTTAAATAGATAATGGAATAGTTTTAGCTGTGAAATTAATAAAAAGTAAAAGCGCCACTAGTGAATATACACTATAAACCCATCACATAATATTTTTTCTGCAAAATTACACAAATTTGATTTTCGAGCGCATTATTTCATTTCCCTTCAATTAGAACATTTTTTAAAACAATAATACACCTTTTTGGAATTTATTTTTTATCTTTTGTAAATTTTACACGACTTTAATAACAAATCGATACATGTAACGTCATCTATTGTCATTTATTTGAACTATTTTTTCTTTGTTCGTGATGAGACCCCGTGGTAAGGCAGTTTGTTTGCTATAGAGTTTAACTAGACTAAGTCTATGACAAATATCTCAGTAACACTTAGTACCCCATACGGGAGTCAAATAGTAAATAGAAAAGATAAGTAAATAGAATTATAATATAAATTATTACTAATAAGTTAATTATGCTTACTGAGTGCGGTGGAGTGGGTCTGGGTCTGGAACAGGATTAGCCAAACAAAGATGGCTGGTGACTATTGCGGCAAAAAATAACTGAAACATTAAAATTGAAAGATTAGTTTACCGTCTATTCAATTATGTTACTTTAATCATAAAAAATATACAGGTTCGTCTTATCTTATTAATCCTATAAATAACTTGCATAAATGTTTTTTTTTTTAAATTAAAATTGCAATTATTAATATGCGAGAATTGTACATTTTATTTATTTATGAATTTTATTATTTATAAAATAAAACAAAATAGAAAGGAATTTCATACTCTGAACAATTATACTATTGTATAGTACCATATATATTTGATAAGTTCTCTCTCATCTCATCATCTCATTTTTAAGTTATTATATAACAGACACCCCTTTGTTTAATGTCGGAACTGGTTTAGGTATATAGATAGCTTATGGCATTATTTGCTACGTATTCCCACGATTTTTTTTCTACCTAAGCCCAGTGTTGGCCTTAAAATTAGTCAATCTGTCCGTTTGTATTTATATATGTATATAGAATATATATTTAAACAGTACTCACAGCTGCGTTGCGTATCATTTCGACGTTTTAGTGCGTGTGTGGCTGTACGGGCGTGCGCAGCGTTAATATTTACTACGGTTGTGTAAGTCCCGCCACGGTTCCTGCTCCTTGCGTCGAGGACACTACGTAATATGCCTAGTTAAGGAAAATTAATCAAGTAATATATGAAAAAGTTATCGATTTTATAATACATTTAACCTTTTTGCTATTTTCATACAGCAAAAACATTTTTCTTGTTATTTTATTAAATAATGCGCTCGCATAATTGATGAGTGCTAGTAGAGGGGTTTTAATATATTTCCACTAAAAATCTATGTAGGTATATTACAAAATTTTCTAAATAAATTTATTTTTGGGTAATAAACATGTAGTTCACAAACTAATAGGTGTCAAAGTTACCTGCAGGTCGGCTATCCTACAGGAACGCTTTTGATCGAAATTGATCTTGAATATATTTATATAGGACATAGGTATATGTAAGTCATAAAATAACCTATCTTCTTAAAATGTATTTAGTACTATTATTTTTCATTATAACAGAAATTTCGTCGAATAATATTATATGTATCAAATAATATTTAAATATTATTCTAGAGTATTCATTGTGTTAGTTTTAAGAATAAATGAGAAATAGATATTATACAGACTTTATAAAATGATGTTTATTTTTCGGTCTTTAGCGGCGGATGTAGTTACCAAGCGAGAAGAAAGGAACGGCGCCATTTACGAGTACAATCCCATTTTTTATCTGCATTCTACTCAGATTACAACTTGAGTATGCTTATAAATATTACAATTTAATCGACAGGTTGTACTATTATACGAATGCTTACGTTAGTTTAAATTATACTACTAGTTCAATGAATATCGTGATAAATTTTATTCAATAATACATAATAACTTGTTTATCATCATATGGTTTAGGCTTGTTCATTTTGTGTTAATTGTTAATATATATTCGATTTTGTTTTGGCTTATACGTATTGAAATAGTTAATAATATTAATATATTTATTAATTGTTTGACATCGAAATAAAGGATATAAGGTTCATTATAATATGAAAACTGCTTCAATGGTCTAGTGACTAGCATGTACGGTTGCAGATCCGGGTCCTGGGTTCAAGTCCAGGTCGGGCCTTTAGTCATGGAGTTTCTCTGTTAAGAAGTTTTCAGTAGCAGTCCGGCGCTGAGAAGTTCGTGTTACGCTCTCTAGCCTCAGAGAGCACGGAAGCTGGCGTTCCTGCACCTTAACTCTCACCAGTCGTGTCGAAGTATCGTCCATCAGACTTTGATAGTGAAAAACGAATACACTTGTACACTATAATAGCTTCTACGCAGATGAATGGTCTTCTGTCTTAGTGAGATTGGATCCCGCGGCCGAAATCCGTTAGGAGAACTTTATGTTAAGTATGTGTATAAAGAAACAATATTTTCGCCTAGATATAAAATGACAATTATACCTATATATCTAGGTATAATTAGCTATTTTTCGCAATTACGTACCTACGCGCGAGGTCAATAATTTGTGAAAAAAAAAACATTTAAAACTCGAGTGTCTTTGTTCTTTTCAATCTATATTTTTACTTAATTTCATAACCGTACTTCATATCATAAAAAAATATACAAACTGAGGTTTGTATAATTTTTTTTATGATAATTCGAATTTTTTTTATGATATTTCGAAATTTTTTAATGAAAATTTAAGATGTGTCAGGATAAAAGGAGCATAGCGTCCAGACAGTCTAGCAGATAAAATTGATCCCTTTGCAAGAAAAAAAGCACGTCGTTACATTGCCACATTAAAGAAGGACAAATCAATAAACCCACAAGCACACTTTCGCATGTATAATATTAAGTAGGAATTGTAAATCAAAACCGTGACCACCGTCGCATCAGTAATTGCCCGCAAAAATAAACAGTAGGTATAGTGGTATATATATACTAAAATAACGTCAGTTCAATACAATTTATAAAATGTTTATTTTTCAACCATTGTTGAATGGCATCTTGTCCAAACCCTCTGGCTAGACGACTCTTGGTCACTTAATTTCATTAAATGCAATTGTAAAATTTGTTATTAGGTATTTTATAAAGAAACTTTTTATGAAAATATTTCAGCTGTTTGCCTGAAGGCTCTTGCTGTGTTCTGCTATTATTATTTGGATTGTAACTTCTTAACTAGACATTTTCTTATTAGACTGATTTTTTACCACAGACATTAATCGTATTTTAGATGACTCAACTAATTTTTAATCATACTAGTACAAAGAAATGTTAAATAATACAACTCTTTATGTAATTAAAATATGTAAATAAATATGTTGGGCTATTAACAAACAGCACCATCTAGTTCCATGGTAAGTTACAAGGCTTGTGTTATGGATACCAGATAGTTGACATATATGCTCGTATACCTATAAATACATTGTAAATATATTATAAATATAGACACCCATGACGGGTACAAACATTCGTGCTCATTAGACAAATGAATGCACTCAGCGGTACTCGAACCCGCGACCGCTGGCACAGCAAGTAGGGTCACTACAAACTGAGTCAAATGTGTATTTTTTTTAATATAGAGTTTACCTGCCCTGTAAAATTATTGGAGATAAACTTAATATTGTGAAAAAGTATTTTGATAGCATTTATCTACGTTTTTGCTGCGGTTTAGTTTTTAAAGTTAAGGTTTTTTGTACGTAATACTATTAGCATTTACGTCTCGTGCAAGAATTTAAGACGCAACAATGGAATCAGAATCAACCTCAGACGTGTCGCGTAAATACTAATAAGTAGTTACACTCTCTATTACTTAATTTAAAATCTTAAACCAAACTTGTTAATTATTGACACATACTTCAAGAATACTGAATGTAATGCAATTATTGGGTGTAATCACGGTAATTGAAACGTGATCGATATTTTATTGCCAAAGTCTCTAGGGATGGCCTGGTTTCCATAGCACGCTCCATTGCTATTGTTTAATATTAACTGTATATTTTCATAAAGGCATTGGTAGCCCAGTGGTAACGCGCTTGTAAAACCAATTGAAGCAAGTTCAAATCTCGGGTCTAATCTAGCAGTTGTGATATTTTCATGCACGAATCATTTTATTTTTTTTAACCGACTTCCAACAAGGAGGAGGTTCTCAATTCGTCGGAATCTTTTTTTATGTATGTTCACCGATTACTCGAAGACGCCTGAACCGATTTGGAAAATTATTTTTTTATTTCAAAGGGTATAATTACCAGGTGGTCCCATATGAATTTTATCGAAATCGGTCAAGCGGTTCTTTGTAAATCAACAAATACATTATTTTTTTAAATAAATTGCTTAATTGAATATGTTATTATAAACTTTCTTCTAACCTAACAAATTACCTGCTTATTACGTCTACACTAAAAATGGTCAAATAAAAACTTAAAAAAAAACCGACTTCCAGGCACTAAAATGTAAAAAATAACTTAACGGTGGTTTTCATTTAGAATAGATACCTAATCAGATATTTTCGAAGTGGGTGCCAGCCTACAATATTGTAAGATATGAATATCTAATAGGTAAATATATATTTTACGTATCGAAATATAATAAATTTGCTTTGCATCGGCTGTATGAAGCATATGCTTTCATCCCGGGGGAGAAGCCAACTCCTACCGGGCGCGTCCCCAGGTGGCGGATAGGGGCATGCCACCCGCTTAGAGGGGCGGGTGGTACCGGAGAAATCCGGCGCGGACCAAATGGCTTGGATGGGGCCGCTCGTCTAGGCCTCGAGCCGAAGACGTTGCGGCCACCGGTGGTGGGACCGCTTGGTCCCACAACCGGATGATGGGTGCCGATTGCGGGACTGTGGTCGCAGGCCCGCATTCGGTGGAGGGGTGGGCCGCGGCGGGAGAGGAGTGCCGGTATTTCGGTGCGCCGTTCTCCCTACCTTCCGCGGCCTAGACGGGGCCGCCACCGTTTGATGGCGGACGCGGTGGGGCTGCAGGGGAAGAGGAGTGTCGGTGTTTCGTTGCCGCTCTCCCTGTCCTCTGCAGCCGATTGGAGGTGGCCCACTTCGGTGGGCGGTGTTTGTGTGGTGTGGGGCTGCTCCGGGTACTTCTCTGATCAGCAGAGTGGACTTAGGAGCGGCCTCACTTTTTGGGTTGTAAGTCTTCCCATAATGGGGTTGTCCCGCTTGGGGCGGCCTCATGGTTGGTGGCTTCGGCCAATGTCGGGGCGTCGCGGTTGTATGCGAGAGCGATCCCGTGGCGCCCCACATGGCGGCAGAGGGGGAAAGTTGGGTTTTAGTGGGTATGCCGGTCTCATTAGCCGGAGAGTCTCCACATAACCACCCCGGGGGAAGTCGGGTGGTATTCGTAATAGGATTTCCCAACTATAAAAAAAAAGCATATGCTTTCATAATAATAACTTAGATTTTTTGAACAACGATTTTGGAGGCTAAGTGTAGGCATAGAAGTAAATAAGGACTGTACAAGTCAGCAAATTAAGTCAATTTGATGCCGATTATTTGTTTCAACAATTTTATAAGATCAAACATTTTATGGGATAACAAGATTTGTTTTAATAGAACGCAATGTAAACAAGCTAGATCGGTCAATCTGTTTACGAGAAATCGGGAAATCGGGGATTATTTACTTTGAACATACCTACTCGTAGATAATTTTTTTTGTTAGATTTACGTCTATGAATAAATAATTATTTATTCGTAGATTTACGGGAATATTTGACATTTTAAATAAAACTATCATTTCGGATTTTTTCGCTTGTTTATGTTGATTTTTGTTTTCCGACGTTTCAAATGCTTTACAGCAAATCCAAAGACATAGTTTTATTTAAAACGCTCGTAGATACTAAGTCGGTCAATAAAAATTTATGCTTGTTGCATATGGACATATTTAATAGGACAACTGTTATAATACCATGATTTTGTAAAAAGATAATACGCTACATGCTGCGGTACAAAAGATGCAGACCCTTAAATGTAGGACGAACGGATAGACAGCGTAGGCTGTAATAGG